AATTAATTCAGCTCTCATATCCTTCCTTGAATAGATAACTATACCATTTTTCTTCTCTGGAGCAGAAGCTATAAAGTGTTGTCCAAGTCTTGTATTAATCAAGTATTTTTGATCAGTTGATTTAATGTGAGTTTCTTGCAAGCAAATTATATCATTCTTGAATTGTTTAAGATAGTGATTTATTTTCTTCCTTTTCTGTGGGGAGTTTAATCTATTAATGTTCCACGTTAGGAACTTAGTTCTCATCTTTGGCTCCCTGAAGCTTTTTTAGAGCCATCTGGACATCCTGGAATTTAATCTTTGGTCTGACTCCTCCCACTGCTTCTAGACTGGTACCTGTAGCATCTTGACCAGTGACAGGTGTTTGTTGTAATTGTTGCTTTTTAAATTCTTGGTCCATTTGTCTGGTGATCACACAGGTTTGTCTTTGTTCCTTGGCTCCTTGTACTTCTGAGAGAGAAAGTTGATCCAACCTTGTTGATACTTGTGTAGTTTGCTGTCTATCTTGTCCTTCCTGTTCTCTTTCTCTGGGTCCAGGCGGGGCGGGATGTCCAGCCTTCAATATATTATTGTAAATGTCTCGGGCCTTCCATACTGAATCAAGACGGTATCTTTGCCCCTGATAAATGAGTGCTAGTCTGACTGGCGCATCCCATCTGAACTGTAGCTGACGATTTTTAAGCTCTTCAACTAAAAAAGCGTAGTCTTAGATCTGTCAGGGTTGTCTTATTGCCAGTGTTTTTTTCCAGAGAGTAAGTTATCTGTGCACTGGGTTTGGTTGAAATTGCTCAAGGTGTCCAGATTTATTGGGAAATACACACACACAGACACACTCACAGGGCCGTTAGGGTTGTCTTACTGTCACAGTGTTTTCTTCCGGAGAGTAAGTCATGTGTCCTCCTAGTTTGGTCAAAATTGCTCGAGGCTTTCCAAACTTATGTGGGATCACAGACAAATGCTCAGAAACAGACACCAACAGACACCAACGCCACAGTGTTTTGTTCCAGAGAGTAAGTCTTCTGTGAACCTAGTTTGGTTGAAATTGCTGGAGGTGTTCCAGAGTTATGTGGAAACACAGACACACATACACAAACACCAAGGGGTGTTAGAGGTGTCTTACCAACTAAATGCTTTTTTCCAGAGAGTAAGTCTTCGGTGGACCTAGTCTGGTTGAAATTGCTGGAGGGGTTCCAGAGTTATGCAGAAACACAGACACACACAGACACACACAGACACACACACACATGAATACACACAAACACACACATACACACACACACCGAGGGCTGTTAAGGTTGTCTTATTGCCAGTGATTTTTTCCAGAGAGTAAGTCATCGGTGCACCTAGTTTGGTTGAAATTACTCGAGGCGTTCCAGACTTATGCGGGAACACACACAGACACACAACCCCCCCACACACACATACACGAGTACATACAAACACACACATACACACACATACACAAACACCGATGGCTGTTAGGGTTGTCTTATTGCCACAGTGTTTTGTTCCAGAGAGTAAGTCTTCGGTGGACCTAGTTTGGTTGAAATTGCTGGAGGG